TACGAACTTGATGACAGTTTATTCCATTTCCGTTGATTGACATCGCTATTTGTATTTCCTCGAGATGTGTAGCGTTCTTGACTTGAAAAGTTCACATTAGCCCATTACTTTAGGAGGTTGGCTACCGACGGTCTAGTCGGGGTCAGAAAACTGCTCTGAGGTCAGTGCCGTGGCGACAGACATCCTTGTCTGTAATGCTTAGCAGTATTTCATTCATCTGACTAATTGCATCCAGGTCTGTTCTGTCACCTCTTCCTTCTTGGACTTAGTTCCCAGGGACCCCAATCTTGGTTAGAGAGAATACTACTGATGGCAGCTGATATATCTAAGTGCTGTTTGTGTTCCCTTATAGACCGCCTGACTGGGCACTTGCAGTCATAAACAACTCAGAATGGTAGCGGTAGAGGGGCATAAGATTTCGCCCCTCTTCCGTTCTCTTTTTTCACTTTAGGCCTTTAGATGTGCTAATAAATCTGCCTTCTTTTTTTCAAAAGGTCAGCGATCATCATGGTAAAATTAACCTTACTAAGGCAGTATGCATTAATTTCCTTGTGGCAAGAAATCCTAATTAAGTCACCCTTTGTCGATAATAAGAATTGTCTTGTAACATGAAAATTCACTGAAGTTTAACCCTTGAAACGGTGGAACAACTCAAGCATCCTATCCATCAGGCTCCGAGCAACTGCGACCTAAAATTGCCTCGTTCACCTAGGAAACTTGGCATGAGTAACTCAATGTTATGAAAAACGCAGTCTTAGGAAGAAACCTTCTGTAACCAATACCTAAGTGATTCTCATTCGGAGCAAGTCGCTGCCTGCAAATCTGCTCGGCTTGTGTCTTCAGAGAAAACGGTTTGCAATGTGTGGAAATCTCGTCCTGGTGTAACGGTGAATCCTACTGAGGATGAATATGAGTAGTATGCGATTTTCTCATAAATCCGTTTGGCATCTATTGATAAGTGATATTTATTACGAAATTTACGGAATTGCTTTGTAGCTTTCGTTTGCACTTGAGTGATAGTCAATGAGTACCCAGGAAAGTTCAGGAAGGCGCATTCGAGAAGGGGGATACTCAGTTTTTATAAACAATATGCAAATGAGAGTTTTGCTTCCCTGTCCAATAAGCTGTAAATGCTCGGTTAATGTTTTCCAGAAAACAAGTCCACAGCGAGGCTAGTCTAAGCTCAAAAGCTGAAAAGCACTGTAAAACGGTTTTATCCTCTTTTCGATCCATCCAAATGCACATCCAACGAACGAATATGAAGTTTCGCATTCGCGGTCTTTCGGTCAGTAAGTTTAATGCTTAGCCGTTCGGCCACAAGGCGTTGCTCAGCCTTGTGGTCAGATGATATATGACACCCTTCATCCTTCCGCTACTGAATTTATAACAAGTAGTCACGTGTTGACTGGTTCACACAGTGATGACCTCTCAGGCCGTTTCAATCAGCATGAGAGAGCAATTCATCATCCGACCTTCTCAATGATTGTTGGTAGTGAGAAGCGATTCGAGAGTTTTGGTGGTGATTTCGTCATGTAAGTGGAGCTAATCTATGCAATATGCTTTCACTTACAGGACGTAGTCTGAGAATTCCTCACTGAAGAAGGCAGTCAATGTGTCATCACTTGATGTGGATATAGTGATTCAAAGGATGAGTGGTACTAAATCCTGTTTAAGTGTAAGTTGGTCACACTGCTAATCAGCCGCTCATGGCCAGACGATTGTGTTCAAACTCCAAGGTTTTGAAGCTCATTGCAGTTTTGTGAGATGCGCATTGATGGTGATTCCCCCTAGGAATGAAACATCTGTGCAGTGCTTCGCAGCTTCTGAGCATAAACTGATTTCGCTTACCATCAGAATTCTAGAATTGCCTGCACACTACCAGCGTTTATGAGCTTGTGATCCAAGCCACTTTTACGGAAATGTTATCGGTTGTGAGTGTTGTAGAGACAGTCAGATTAGGCAGTGGTTTCGAACATCTCGACTCTGACTTGAACACACAAAATTTTAGTGGTCGCTTTTTGACCGAGTTTTTTCACCAACCAGAGTTGCTTCGTAAACCACTGCAGAGTCACCACGAGGGCTTCTAATATTTTGAACAGTTGCATTTCCGAGCATCGTACACGTAGCACATCTTTATACTCAGAGGAACCGGACCAAGCGTCTTACCTTTTCCAACTCAGAGAATCGGGTGGTACGCTCTCCCACCAATCTCATTTTGACTTGTGTGGGATCAACTTGGATCAGACTAATCTGTTCATCCTCTCAAACATTGAGTGCGGAGATGGGTGTGATATTTTCTGGACTATTATTCGATAGATTTCAAAATGTCCTCTTTTCTTCAGCCCAGATAAACTGTTTTGATCAATTGTTGATTGTAGCAGTTCACTTATTTCTACCTTGAAAAACCTGTTTCCTTCGTCTTATCTCAAATCTGGACGGAAATGGATAGAATTTGACACTTCAGCTGAAAAAGATTCATCCTTTTGCTTATCTTATTAGCATCCAACTGACCAAGGTCGCTGAGCGTGCAAGTGTAGGCCACTTCAACACCATTAATAGAGACCTGTGTACTCAAAAATGAATTTGGCCTTCCAACTTTTAATGCACCTTAATTGGGGCAGTTTTTTAGGCTTCCCCTCTACGAGGACAGTTTAAAACTATTGTCTTATATTACTTACGTCATTTCCAATGAAGTTCACTGGATATCTTTCTTTGGGCTTCCCAAGGCATCCTCTATTCTGAGTGTTGTGCGGAAGAATACTGCTAATGTAGTGAATAGCAGGATCTCCATCCAATCTCTAATACCAGCAATCAAAAGATGCATATAAACTAAAGGGTTTGGATAGAAAAATTAAGCCGCCTCAAGGGTGTGCAACCTCCGGCCTCGAACCCTCTTGAACCTTATGTGATCTTAGTGATAATTCAAGTGTTCTTTAAAACCATTTTGAGAACTTTATCGTGACGTAGTATGTGGTGTTGCATGACGCCTCGTCGCAGAGAAGCTGTAGCCTATGTGGCCCCACGATCACACAGCAGGAGAAAATCCCAAAGAGTTCCGAACAATTTCGGAAGGAATCGGGCTTCGCTCTTCGTATCCTAGCCGAGTTGGTGATTAACACTGACATGCTCGTGTTATACTTACTGTCGTTAACAATCAAAAGGACGTCACTCCTACCTAGACTAGTCAGACCCCTCCCATTTGTCCATTAAGTTCACCATAGATGAAGAACAGCATGACAATTTCTACTTGCTGAGCGACAGATTAACCAGAAGCAATGACGGGTCCTCAAGGATGTCAAATGGGTCAGTGAGGCATACAAATTTCATCAGTTTTTGTTACCGTTCTACAGCAGACGAGTCTCACCTATCGTCTGTAAGGTAAGTCAGTCAAAATGAGTTCTCAGGACGCCATATAGCGTAGGTTCAAGCTATCAGAGAATATCCTGAGAAAAAATGGCCTCCCGGGGAATGGTATTCTCCGTAAGATGTGCAGTTTAATGCCATACCCTCAGGGTCCTATAGCTGGAGAGAAGCCAAGATACGTTAACTCACCTTTCAATAGTGATCCGTAGACAGAATCGCTCAGGCGTAGACTGTGAAAAACCACTAGCAGAATATTTCTCACTACCACCCTTGACAACTGCTTCAAATTGACGTGAAGGACCGAAAAACCCTTTACGCCCAAAACTGGTTTCTTATGCAGCTGTGTTGTAGAGCATATCGGGTGAACGACGCGGCAATTTAGCCAAAGTACAACGGAACACATGTCGTCAGGCCTTATCAATGGCAACAAGGCATCGGTGAATATTCCAGCCAGCCAGCATACGTTCGCCACACTACAGGACAAATTCCGCTAGATCTATTTGTTTACAGAACACAATCACATCAAGCGAAATCGGTACAACCTTGCATCATCTCCGTGGCTGAATGCACCCTCAAGCCTACGTAGACAACCTCCCACCCACATCCAGAGATCCTCACGCTGTCTGCAACTCAAGGTCATCATTCTGATGTCCTTTGCCCAGCTGCCTGGCCCCACGCTACCCAATGGCACTCTTCCAATCCTTGTTGTTGTATTTCACTTACTTGCAGTTACCTATTGGTTATCTAAATATTTCAGCTTTTCAAACTCTAATCATGTGACTGGAGCAGGGTCTATCAAAGTCATGCGTTCGTTAAAGGTCACACTTGATTACCAAATCACTGAAACATTAAACATAATCTGAGTCGTAGTGTCTTCTGTCAAACTAACCAATCTTGATGTGTACACCTAACGTCGCTTTAGACAATTTCAATAAAGACAGAGTCCAAAAACGAGGTTACTGATAGCATAAAAGCGCTTGAACCGGTTCATACCATCCAGTTACACGCAAGCAGCAGTTCCGCCCCCACAAAGCCGTCTATGGGAGTACTATGGAGAATATCAATTCTTCTCCTCGTTTGACGTCACAAACCAGAAGTTAGTACACATTTTCATAATTATTATTCAACCGGGATCATGCAACCTAATCAGTTTTATAACACAAGAGTTTAAAGAAAAAGTCATAGTAGTAAAGAGAATTCCCTATGGAGAAATATATATTGCACAAAAGACGGTTAGGAGAGCAATTTTAGCTCCATGGCCAAAGCCCCTTTTTAAACAAAAGGCGAAAGGCAAACAAATAAACAAAACGACCAACGTGATGATTCTCACATAGAAATGTGCACCCGAGCGTTGAAGAGTTATAGAATTTAGGAATGCAGGAAAACGAAAACCTCGAACGGTATGGGGTGACTAATTAGAAGCGCAACTATCAGTTCGGTATAGGCCTTTGATAACTTGGTAGAAGGGCGTTTGGATGGATTGCAATCTCCTAAGACAAATATAACTAAAGGCATTTTAAGGAAAAAGCCAGATTACTAATGGTGAATTGGATGCCACGTGTTGACAATGGGGAAGAAGCTGTCAGTGGGCAACGGTTGTCGAGGAGATCGAGTGTAGTAGAAATTTCTACCCATATTTAACTTTCCCCAAGTATGTAAGCAACACTGGTATTATTTTGCCTTAACTGTAGCAAATTACTTGTCAGCTGATTGACCTGTTTTTCGAGTTCTTGTAACTGTTGAGTCAGTTTTTCAATTCGACCTATAGTGTATTCTTTCCGCATCGGACAGGAAGGTGTTTCCGTGGTCTGGTGATCATCTTCAAGCAAAACACTCCGCCGTCTGCGAATGCCAGCTGGTTCAATACGATTACTATCGAAAGGTGTGGGTGAACAATCCACCCAGGCGGCGAGATTCAGTTTCAGAACTTTTTCGCAGGGAATAATGTCATCTGGTTTCATTGGACGTAAGAATGCATTTTTGGGGACCTCAGTGATGTTGTCTGCATTTTCGCAAATCACCCTTGCTAGACTTGACCCAGCCTTCTTTAACTCTGCCAGCTGAGCATGAGTGAAGACGCCTCTGTGCTCGTACCAAAAGCGATCGCCATCACGAAGACGTTTAAACTGGTCGGCGATGATACATGCAAACGTTGGCCCAACACGGGCCTCAGGCAGTAAGTCTTCCAAAATGCCTCCAGTAAACAAGTCAATATTTCCTGGATGTCCGTAAACTTGGCGAAGCTTTTCCCGTGTATCCGCATTCGAAATACGTGCTGACAGATCATCGAAGGAATCTGGATGGGGTGAACTACCAAGTCCACAAAACCTATGAGCGTACTCCGTATAACCAGGTAACCCATGATCCCTCCCTCGCTGGACATTCAGCGCGGCCAAATCCAATGCAAGTTCGTGCGCCATTGCAAACAAACGTTCAGTAAGCTCTGCGTTGAGTGGAGGATTTCTGCTCCTGTCGCGCACTCCGTTGAACATGAGTCCACGTATAATTGGGTCCATACCACCATCTTTGAGCATCCGGTCAGGAGCAAAAAACGCTTGATGAAGAGGCAGGTGACCCTCAGGAATGGCTTGCCAATTCTCATCTAAGCGGAACACAATAGGAGACACCAGAGTGTGACCAAACCGCATTGCAGCTGTGGCGAACTCATTACTAATTGTGGGATTGACTTGATCATCGTATGTAGTATAGGTACCCAACAGTTTCATCCCTTCAGGGCCCAAAATGATGGGCAACCAGACCTGGTAGGTAATCGCCTGCATGCTTGCTCCCACAATTTTGCGCACCTCTTGGTAAATCCTATCACCAGACCAGTCGGGATTCAAGCTCCGTAAGCCGTCCGCAAGTCGATTATGTTCGCGCACCCATAACGTATGCATTGATAAGAGTCCGAGGTTCTCGTTACTTCGATGGTCACCAGCCTTGAAGCACGGTACGAAATCTTGTTGCGGGTCTGCTTGGCAATCTACCTAGAAAAGTTAAGCATGAAGCACAGCTAGACAGAACTTTCGGGAAGTAAAACCGTTGTACACGAGAGAATGTAAAGGTAGGATATCGAAAATGAGCGTGTGTCTACCTGGTGCCTGCGCACGTTAGGTGAGCCATGAGCTATCTCCATGCATCCAGCTGTGATGCTACATTCCAGCTGCTGATGCTAAAATAAACCGCGTAAATGGTACCGGTATCCACTTTTTTCATTGTGTTTAGACTGACATGCATGCCGTTTCGCAAATCTTACTCCCTCAGGTTTGTATCGGCGCCGGAGGATTGCATGCAGTACCACAAACGGCTGAAAGCTGACCGTCTCACTTTCAACCCGACCATTCCTTCATTATAGGGTACACTCTACCATATGTATGTATCCATATTAACATGGATATTTAATGACATAATTATTAACTCTGGTGTTTTTCTGACCCCAAAACTGTGATAAACTGGAAGATGGCAGAATGGTGGACAGTCCTGTTTGAGACCTACCTGACCGCGGATATTGAAAGGCATCAATCGCTTCCCAGCAAACGTAGGCATTCCGGTTCGTAATTTCCCCTCATCATGTAAGTTTTCACGCAGTTGGCCATTTTCAAATTCCTCACTTCCATACACATTTGACGCATCAAGGAATGATGTAATTTGATTAAGCTGCTCCCGATGATGCGGTCTTCCGAGGAGGATTGAGGTCGATCCGGATCCACAGGTAGCACTAGAGCGTGCAAATCCGATACAACGGTGCTTAATTCTCGGATCGTCAGGGGGCACCAGAATAGGAAAACATGGAGGGTCGTTAACACATGTGTCGTTGCAGTTCAGTCCATCACTGAAACGACTAATCGAAGCATCAACGGGAGTGAAATCTAAGTCATGATCCAAGAATTGTCCCCACTGCATCAGCATTCCAGAGTATTTGTCATCTTCATCAAAGAATTGACCATATTTGCGCTCGAATTCTTGTGTGTTGTTTCTTGCCAGTTCGAACCGACGTTTCAGTGAGTTTGAGGAAGACTATCAAAACAGCGGAAAGCAGTATTTATTTTTTTACCGCCTATCAAGTTGAGAATTTTTTCACGTAACACTACTAACTCTCAAGACCGACCACACAATAGAATAAAACCGATCATTTAAGACTCAGTACAGAATATCACATTGTATGAGACATTTTTAATCTTACAACCAATCCTATTCTAAAAGCCATTCAATACAAGAGCTGTGCCGGATTTCGGATTGATAAACTGAAGGTTATCAAAATGAAAATTCAAGCGCGTCTCTCGTGAAACTGTGGAATTCACTCTGACAACACCTACAACAAATTTATCCTTATCTGTAGTATTTCACTTGTTAGTAGCTACTATTACGCCGTCGCCTATTCTGGTGAAATTTGTTCACGCCAGTTTGCTCAATTATTAATCATAATCATGACTAGCGGAATCGATACGCATTCAAGTGTGTGATACATAGTTGTCCACAAAAACCTACTTCGGATTGTGTTGTGCGTACAATTTAAGGATAACTGAAACTGGAGATGGGACTATTTGTCCGATATCTGTTCGTCATGATTAATTGACATTTGGAAGTGTGCAGTTTAACTCAGGACTTATCCGGATGAGGGCTGGGAAGGTTCAAGGAAAGTTCCGATCATTGTGGTTAGTCAGACAACGAACGATGTTCAGACAAACAACATGTAGCTGATGGATGAACAGAAAAAACGGTCCCCGTGCGGCTCCCCAATAATGTGTAGGTCTCGTGCAATTAGGGAACAGTCATATTTTGCGGATTATCTCTCAGATACAGCCAAACCGTCCGCTCAAATGATATCGATTTCCAAATAAAAATCAGAAGTTCAGAAGGATTATGACTACCTTGTTAAGTTTTAAATTCTTCAGAAACGTCTAACCCATATACATCAGCGTGTTCTTTTGCTGGATGCATAAATTGATTTAGCCCTAGTCTGCACTGCATTCTGAATTGCATAGAATGCCGTCTTATGGCAATCCGTTTAAATAACTTTTGTGTAGATCTGTTTTAGTTCGGGCGTGGCAATACTGGATACAGACGGGCGCTGCCACGAATTTCGCTAGCTGAGTATAAATGATATTCTCACAGCTACTCACTTCATCATCAGTAGTTGACATATTCTTGTAATATTCTTTCTGTTGAGCCCGCTGCTCTTCCCACTCGACCATTTGTCGTAATCTAAGAAAGAGATATAACATTGAGTATACGGGAAAACTATGTAAGGGGGTTATTGTGAATCGTAGGAATAACCACCATCAAACGTTCGGGATTAAACTGGCGCATATTCTGAATGGTTAGCAGACAATCCAGGCTTGCTCCGTAGAATAAAATACTGAGGAGGAAAAATCAACGAATGAAACGTTCAGTCTACATGTAGAAGTGCTTCACTGTATGATAACCTAGGAGTGAAAATAAAGCCTGTTTTAGAAACAATAAATGTCTAAAAAGTGGAACTGTTTCCTGAATCAGGCTATTATTAAAAGGTGACACCTGATCACCCAGGTGCAAAAAATATGTGAGAAGAGATTGCTCAGCAAGTAAGCTTTGATAAGGAACCCAGCCTCGTGGGGGAAAAATAAAAGCACCGAAAAGATCTTCAACCTTAATGGAAAGAATCTGCGTGAGTGAACTCAGTCTTTAGAGACAAGATTCTAGGAAGACTTTCATGGACACGGTCATAAGTTATTGCCAAGTGTAACCGGGATTGCGTGATAAAGGTAACATTAGAGCGTACTAATGACTGAGCCCCGAATATGTTCTTGAAAGAAAAAGTGCGCATACCGCCGGAACAGGGACCACAACCATAAGAAAGAGCAAATAAGATTTTCAAGGCGCTGAGATGACGGATCTTTAGAATAGGTAGTGACCTATTTTAAGAGTACTAGCAAAGCAATGGTATACGTAGTAAGTCCCTCTAGAGAGCACCTGCAAGTGTGTTTGATGATTGGATGAGTTATAGAGAGAGTAAGAGAGAACCGATATGCGTAACTCTAAAGAAACTGAATTACAAATGTCTATAAAAATCACTTGAAGAAAAATGTTGAGTACAAAGTGAATCAAAACAGTTGGAATACGGGGGAAAATTCCTATGCTCAGTTACAGACTAAAGATGATGAATTTTCTCCAAAAGGCAGATAAATAATATTCATCTTTAAAGGCTAGAGAGCTCATTTCGACTGACTTGTGCGTGATATACAACCTTTCTTCATCCCTTTAATTTAAATAAATGCAGCAAAATCCTTGACTCAAATGTAGCATACCGAAGATTTTTCGATCATCTACTCTAGTAAATGGAAATCGCACCATCTATCAAGGACCCTTTTAAAAACAGCACGCTGATTTCTCAAACGATGCATTCAGAAAGCATGGCCTACTGAAAGCCATAAACTGGATTAAGAGAGCACGGAATCAGGTTACATCTGGTATCAGAGATTCTCTTCTATTTGTTAGCCCCACAAAAAATGGTATAAGATTGTACGATCGGTCGTATGATTCAGACATATATGGGGATGCTGGTAGTATTCTAGTTCTAGTACTGAGATAGATAACGGATAAATAAAAATCCCTATTGTAGGCGATAAACTTCTGACATTTACAATCTTCGCATAGACGCTATGCTTTTCGAGCTCTATACAATGTCTGTTTTCCCGTGGCAACCAACAAAAACAGCGCTCAAACGAAACACGTAGATCGGTTGCAATATCCGGCCAACACCATATCGAACATCCCAGAATTTTGTCTACTAACACGTTCGCGTAATTTTTCTTCTATCTATACAATCAGTGGCAACAAGTGTATTGTGTTTATCCTGCTCGTGAGTGTGTCACATGCTTCGGTATGGTTGTCCCAACGGGGTTATACCAGTGCCAAGCCACTTTGGACGTTTGCGATTGAATATTTCGGGTTTGGGTTAAGGGGTCATATGCTTAGTTTCATTACTATTTCACAGCTTCTTGATATGCAACAGAAAGTATATTCAGCGTATTACGTTTTATTTTACTGTGTTTCGTTAAAATGTGTTGTATTTTTTTGGGTGACATTATCCGCACATACTTAACTTATATACATTTGCAAACGACCCATCCAAACAACGAACTTCCCAGAGCGTTGAAACTACAACGGTGAGCATGGTTATACGGATAAAGCTCTTCAGCACTACCTAGCCTACAACGGTGGCATGGTTATACGGATAAAGCTCTTCAGCACTACCTAGCCATACGTGTATGAATGGGGTTTGTCTTGTGAGTACTGCTATTCATGAGACCACAAGTTGCTTACACGGTGAGTTTCACCTGTACCCATTTCACCTCGAAAATACAGGCAACCGGGTGGGTATGTTGGCGGCCTAAAAACTGCCCTGCTACTGTCCGTCCTTTGGTCTTACTCACTCAGTTCATGTCTAATTGGATTCACATGCGGCTCAGTGCAAACATCATGTACGTTAGGTTGCGAGGTTCTCTGCAACGGGCCACTCCGGCAGCGGACACCAGCCCAGGATGCGAGACGTCTACGCATCTTTGGTTATTGTGATCGACCTCTCTATCGATGTGACTGAGTGTGTTCAAGCCAGTCATGCCCGGTAAGTCCATTATTTTTTAATGTTGTCGGAAAGGTTATTTGCTCAGGATAAGTGAGTATCAAATCTTTATTGTCCCACACTAATCTTGGATACTTATCACCATCAGCTGATTCAATACAGATTCCATTTCAAGTAGAGCCAGTCTATACTGAATAGATCAGAACTCTTCCACAGCTGACTTGTTCCTGTTAGGAATAATCGCCAGGTCGCATCTCACGTATTTCGTGATTTCCCGGATGGCAGATGAAGATTATGCCATTCAGTCATGAACCACCAGTCTGATTAACTTGCATTTCGACAGAATTCATCCTTCATTCACGAAATTTAGATCACATGGTAACACCAAAACCTGGCAGTCGATCTAAGGGCATTCTTGCCAAGATGGCTGACTTGAGTAAGCATCACATCATATTAACAAAAAAACAGTGTCAGCGTTTCTCCTATGTGAACTTCATTGACTCATCAGTTACAAGGAAAAGATGGCTAGCAGGTCGGTTTATGTTAGGAACAATACACAATGACCGTATAATCATGCTGAGGCTCTCACTACAACAAGAATACCAGGCGAAATGATGACGTACAAAGATACAAACAGATGTGATTGTACAAATACGATGAAGTTGTATTCAGTGGACTTTGCGTAATTGACAAGATCGCTCAGTTTTCAACTATCTCAGGGTCTTTTTAATATTTTATGTTTCAATGTTTTGACTGAAACTACTCGTAAGTAGTCGAAACACTGATTCAGAGGAACTTCAGATGAAATTACTTTTAGTTAAATTTGTGGGAAAAAATTATCGGAATTCGTGTCGTCCAAATACCCTGCTACTAACGTTTTTCATTAATGGACTAGATAAAAAGTTTTGATTTTAGCTGTTTAGGCGTAAATCATTTTTCAGATTGAATGTCGAGTGAAGCATTCAAAGTAGGACAATAAAACGCCTATCATGACAGAAGTTTGAAACTCACCTGGTTGTGTGTCTTCCAATCAGAGTTGCATTTCCCAATAAGGCCACTGAAACTATGCGAGCCGAGGGCTTGGGGTATCCGAAATAAAGCCGCGTTGGTGTCCACCCGATCGGTGTATTCACGCCATTTTCGTATTGCGGGGGAAGGAGGCGTTTGAAAGGAACCAGAGCTGCACCCCATCGTGGATGATTAAAGTTGTTGCAGGCGCCGTCAACTGACCTATATCGCAAATGAAAACACAGTTGATGAGAGCACGGATCAATGTTGCTGGACTGTTGACAGCCTGAAAGTTGGGAGATGATAGCCAGTTGATCCGCACTCAACTGAGTTCCCAAAGCCTCCCTTGTATGTGGTTCTAATTCTTCGTCCGGGTTCAGCTCTGGCAGCTGATCGATGCTAGATGTTTCAAGCCTTTGCTGATTTCGCTGACGAAGTATGCTGGTAACTTCGTCAATGGCCGCTTCATAAACTTCAGCAGCTTTTGCTAATTCCAGCGCTGCGCGACTTGGCTGACGAAAAAGCGAAGCAACGTCAGCCGAAGATCGTCGCCTATTTGGATCTCTAAGACGTTCAGCTGTCCTTTTAATCGCGGCTTCGATCCGTATCCGGGCCTTGTCGATCACGTGACGTACAAGGTCATCTCCCGTCAAAGAAGAATTTTCCTGAAGCTCGACCTCACGCGTTGAAACTTTCATTGTTGATGAAGGGGGTAATTCATCAGGTGAAACCACGCGGATGACTGTTGTTACTCTGGCTGAGCCAACGCGATTTGAGGCATAGCATACGTAGCGACCATGCGCATCCCGTTTTGTGACATTTCTGATCAAAAGAAAGCTGTTGGTTTCAGTTGCTTCTACAGCAGCCCTCAGGTATTCATTTGTTGAGTAAATGGATGAGGTATCTGGACGTAGACTTTCTAGCCCTGAGGTAACTTCGCGAACCACATATCGACCTCCAGTAACCAAGTGTAGAGGCAGAGTGTCTTCCTGCCACAACCAAGAAATTCTGGGCCGCGGACGTCCGTAAGCGGAACAACGAAGTTCCAAATCAGCACCCTCCACAATCGTATTATGGTCGGCTGGTGGAGCATCTATGATTCGTGGTTTCACCGGATCTATTAGACGCAGCGTAGCATCTGAGAACAAATGCTGTCCGTGTTTACTGGAAACCACACAGGTATACGTCCCTTCGTGATAAGCGTGGGCTTCGAATATTTCTAATATCTGTAAAACACAAAAAAATTACCAGGAAGGTCAAACAGCCCTCATTAATTTACGTAATAACAAATCTATAAAGTGTAGCGTTTACATGGTACGTTACAGGTTATCCTTTTCAATTGGACTTAATGGAACATTTTCTTGCCATTTTGTTTTTCATATCTTACATACACCGAATTCTCAGGCCTTCTCGAAATCGGCACTGGATAACCAACTCAAAATCCATGGTTAACACTGGTTGCCCAGCAAAACTCTCATGACAGACTTACTTATTGGGTTTGCATATGACGTTAGGTGGTAAACCTGAATGACCTAAACCTGACTTTGGTAGTGGAATTCACTTAACTTTTTTCACTCAGGCTTATTCACGAATGTGATGGGCCATACAACGTAGCTACTAAGTCTAAAGTTAGACGCTTTGGGCCGACTTCCGCTTCCGGTTTCTACCGTAGCATCATGCAAAGTACACGATCACCCAAACAAGAAGGTTTTCACTGAACCACCTGTGTGTATCCTCCTGGAAGTCCTTTTGTCCGATGTAAGTTAGAAGGTATAAGAAGGAAGAGTGAACAGGTGAGAGTAGTTCTAAAGCCGGCAGTACGGCTGATTGGTGGTAGAGCTCATGCTTTAACCAGTCATTCCACTATTTGCTCGCCTGTGTCACTCTTTACGCCAGAATCGCTGTACGTTTTCAGTACGGAAACCGAAAATGTCGAAGAATCCATTTCTGAGTGCCTGAAACTGTTAGGGAATCCACATTTCTGTCCATCGAAATGCTGCTAGCCAATAGGTGTATCACATTACTCATAAGGTTTCTGAAAACTCTTCGGCAACCTACGTTCAGTTTCGTCCTTTTTGGGGCTCAACAGGCAGGCACAGGCCCCAAACTTCCGTCAATCTTATGTTCTACTTGAACACAAACTGGACAGATTTTTACAAATACACGCATTTGCAAATCAATTCGGTTTTGACGAAAGAATCACCTGCAACCCAGCTGAATCTTTCGTTGATGATTTTCTCGAGCACTATCAGCACTACGAGTACTGCCGACTAGTATTATTTGTCAATCAAAGCCAGCGGTTTAGGCTACCGGTCTCCAGATCAGAAACAGAATTATGACACAATCTGAATCACTGATAGCACTTCGCAAGCTGGCACATTCCATAATATTCGCGTTTTGAAAAGAGTGATAAATTGGTCCACATTCTCAGCCTCCCATTTCGAGTATCACTTATTCACAGACTTTATCCGTTCTCATTCCGAGGGTAGAATCTTCGCTTTCACCAGTTAGTTGATGTCCGTCTCTCATCTTTTATCCGACATTTCCGACCGAATTATGATTACTGCTCCGAAAAAGTATGTAAGTTGTGTGTATCGCTCATAAAAATCCAGTGGTGCTTTGAAACCTCTCATCTTCTAGGACGGAGACCTCAACTTTTCTTCACATCAAATTCTTTCCTGAGATAAGTATCTTAGTCTGCCTTTGCACTCACAATACCAAAACGTATGTGATGGGTTTTGAATAAAATGCTGAATACTTCCCCACTGACATTCCGGTCAACGACCATGGTACTCCAGAAGATTTGTTGTTTCCTTCAGACCACTGTGATCACCACACTCTACCTTGGTGGTTACAGTAGTACTTTCTATTTCTCATCACGCTTCTGCTGCTGTGCTCTGTTCGTGAGTAGGTTCCGTTGATGGTTCTTCGTCACTCTTTATACTTATCCCAATCAGATTTCTGTAGTTCAGGTGACACTTCTCAAATGGTTTTCAATGTGACTGGTGTTTCAGAACACTGCTCGATTTTCCAAATCCGGTATACCTCTATTGGGTGCTTACCCCATTTAGCTCAACAGGAGGATAATTTGTACAGAATTTTGTGAAGGCGATATGCTGAAAACAAAATTTTCGGCCATGTGCTTGCGAAAACTCCCACGACAGCACTGTCATTATCTTCAGTAGACATTGCTGAACTAGTTAATGTATCATTTCTCCAGAATATCTATCACTTTCACTCCGTTGTATTCAATTTTTATACAGTCTTCTATTTGTATCTTCCACCAATCGCCCGGGTTAAGGCTCGTTAATCTCTTGCTTTCCAATAAATTTAGATGCAGCCTGATCTGAACGCGCCATCCTTTTGGCCATGTTTTGCATGTTTATGTCATAATTTGCACCCATTTTCTCACCATTATGTTCCCCATTTCTGACCGCTGGCACAAGTCCAGCTAGTGAAACATTTTCCATGTTTTCCTTATTCTAAAACGCGATTCTGGGATTAACCCGGATAAATATTGATCCATATTTCTTCTTTATCGATTTAATTTTATTTCTCTAAGTGGTTGTGTCAATTGGATTTAAACGACTCACGTAATCAGAGCTGATCTTGTTGAAACTGCTTTGGTTGCTTCGTTTACATTAGCCACACCAACTTTTAGTTGTACCACCCAGCTTTTTTTAAACTCAACTTAACTTAGATACTATTGTCCAGCCGGAAATTCGCTTTATCCTTTTCATTTTACACCTAAAATAGCTGCCTATAAGATCAATTCAGGCACAACTCACAAACACCACCATTAATGCTTTTCACGCGCCCAGTAGGTGAAAATATCACGATCGCCAGCAAATCCACGGGATCTTCAGTGTTGTTCTACCTAAGAAAGCATTGCACAAAGGCTATCACAATTCGTACGGAAAACAAACACCCGGAGTTGGGCACTTTGGGAATTAGATGAGGCTTTTTCGGTAATATGTATGAGAATGACCGTGTTGAACCGTCAGTGATCCAAGTCAGATGGCTTTAAATAAGTTTAAATTTGAAGCTAGTCAACAGAATGCTGGAAAGTTTCCTCAAAGCTTTAGTCCAACAAGGCGTAACTAAATCCATGCAGTAATCCGAGAAGGGTTTTAAATTCAGCTAACTGTACCGCAAAGACATGGATAACGCGTGTGTTGTGTGTGTTCTGGTCCAAGTATGCAAATGAGCCGCCCTCAGATGAGAAGAAGTGTTGCCTGATATTTTGAAGAATTTCCATAATTGGACAAGTTGCCCCTTGCCTACTTACAGGTATTCGGTGTACTCGAAGTGTATTAAAATTCGGAAGTTAGGAACTATTAAAAAACTGTCAGAAAAAACAAACGGATATCAATAATACTCACTGTCTAACAAAATATCTAGTGGTCCCGACATTGCTGGGTTAACCAAACGTACCCTCCCGGGTAAACCGTTTCTACTTTTAAATAGTGAATAAGGTCGGATAACAAGACTCCTTGGTGCATATAAAATTTTAGGATTGTCCCCAACACACGTAGGACCCTAATATTCGAGGTGCTCTGTCAGATCATACAGTACGACTCGCTTAGAATGCTTTCCCGGACCCACTCACAAAATTCTATGAACTAGTCAGCATTCCAAAGTCGGAAAAAACAACAAAACCTTCAGATAAAACACGATGAAAAAGGCCCATTAGCACGTTTGTTAAAGTCTCAATCAATTTTGACTCTTGAGAATTTTGAATTCCACTCTACTCAATCAAAATCGGCATGTTATGCAATATAGCGTAATTGGGGAAATCACGACAATTCCTAAAATGCTTACTGCTTGCAATCCTAACGCTGATTCAAAACCTAAATTTCCTTCTGCTTCAGGGTTTTGTGGCGAATTTTGTATATTTTGTAGAACGTCTAAATTCTGAGACGTCTAAATATCAGGAGATCGAAAATTGAGCCATATTTGCAGTCTGGCAGTACATTAACTCTTGTGAGTGTCTCCGTCAACACTGTTGAGAAAATGGGTTGCTTTATAGGATGTAGGGTTTAGCAGAATCAATTTTCCGGACCAACGAAAACCATATCCTGAGGAGTGAAGTAAATCTTGTGGCTATACATGTCCCTGTGCTTAAACCTGACTGGTTTTTTGGGAGCGCCTAGAATGTTTCATGTTGTCATCCGAGGGCTAGTGACACACTCATGAAGTGATAGCCTCGGGGTTGTCATTAAAGGTGGTCTATCATCAGAAAAAGAACTCGTTGAGTATGGGTGGTGGGGCAGTTTGAACTATTCGTGCTCGGGAATTCATACATCCTCATTCGTCACAGCTGTCAGATCAACCATTAGGTGTTGCCTAATTTTGGCTGGAGGAAGATTGATTCTGAGCGGTTGCAAGAGGGGAGCTCCTAAGGACCACTTATATGATTCAAACTACGCTTTCCTTCCCCATGTTTACTATTATACAAACTGCGGCTTGGAGTCTACGCCTAAGTGGGAGACTTGGGATTAGCCAGCCTATTTTCCTCAATGATTCCTTCTCCGGTTAACAATAACCGTTTCTACCCTGTTAGCTGCTGGAAACAAGCATCTTCATGGTGATTTCCACTTATTTTTCCGGTTCCTTGCTGAAATACATAAAGATCGCTAAGTTCGATTTGGCGGCTTGTCGTTCCAAGTAATGTAGAGGTGGGTAAATTATGGTACTAATCATGGTCCACGCTGACAAGCGTGATGTCTTACCTGTCTTCTTCTGTGCAGACGGATATGCGTTGTAGCGTTTTCCGGTAACAGCCAGCTTATTTGAATATCCTTTGGCCCGTCGGCTCCACAAATGAATCTCGCCATATCACCAGCCACAACTTCCATATTCCGCGGAATATCTCTCCACTTGACAACTTCGACTGGTTGCTCTGGATATGTCAGGTAAGCATCCGTTATTGGTTTCAGTTCGAGCTCATCTTCTATTGGTTCTTGTAGTGAATGTGGTTCCAATCCTCCAATATCTTGCACTGGACAGTGAGGCCAAGGCCATTTGTGCTGTAGTTCACCTGGATGAGGTGAATATGGTAGTCGTCGAATGTGATCGTCTTTCTCAGATTCCCGAAGGGCCTGATAACCCCTTAGGCGAGTGCTCCGAACGGTAGAAATCAATCGCTTTGCAAGTTCAGCTACCCCTGTATGAGCCACTTCGGGAGGACTCTGACAAGTCGCACGACTCCGAACCGGTTCCAAATGAATCAGGGATAGTGAAAAGTCAACGAGTTCACAAGGACAGTGAAGGGGATTGGCAAATAATGACAAACGTTTCAGATAAACCAAACCCTCTAGTGAGAACGGCAAGCTAGTCAGTTCATTTCTGGACAGATCTAAATCTTCCAGAACAAATACTGGTGTAAATACATCATGTGGCAGATACGCTATTCGATTCCCTCTCAACGAAAGGCTACGTAGGCGTTGTAGACCAATGAATGCCTCTTTGGAAATCCACACCAGTTGATTGAACGAGAGCTCGATTCGCAACAGATCTTGTAGTCCTTCGAATGCAGCTCGTTCCAAACGGATCATTGGATTTTGACTTATCTGTAGAAACTGCAAAGCACCTCCCTCGGGATCAGGTACATATCTGGGTAGACGAGGCACCGTGCTCATCCCTGTTTTTCGACAGTTGATGGTCTGTCTGATACAGGAACATCCAGTAGGACATTCTTCGTGGTTGGCCAAAATCGATATCCTTGGGTTCAAGCAAAACACACATAGGAATGTCAGAGGAATTATTATCCTCATCCTTGTAACCGTAATTGGGTCTGCGGGAAGACGCAGCGTAGTGCGCTTTGATAGCTTATGGAAACTAAATCGGTTATATTTGTTCCGCTGGCTTATGATAGGTTGAGACCAGATTTTGTTTAAAGTTTAGTTAAACTGTGTGACTTGCGCCGGACCGGATAGGTAACTTCGGTTGAACCAAGACAGATGTTTCGGATGTTTCGGACCAAAGTTGTAAACAATCTGGATCGCTGTGTGACGAAAGTTTGGTCAACCAAAATATCCACGCTGTTCCTGGTGGTCGATCGAAATCAACGACCAATCATGGATTTGACCTGGTTGCTGCGTGCGAGTAGGTTTTTCACTGGATGGCTTACGTCTGAATGACTTACATGTCATTTTTGCCGGATGTTTGGTTTCTACTTGATGGTAGTGAACTAAAACGGTCGTCCGCTTTGTAGTGCACCACACACGAATGTACCAGATGGTTTGCCGGCCATTGGGAGATCACACATTTTGTGTTGGAGTAAAAACCTACAATAATCTTGCTTACCATTTCATTACATCAAGAAGCGATAAAGATCTATACGTACATTACACTAAAAGAGGCAGAACATTTCCACTTATTGATGTACACTAGCCAGTCGAGAGGTTAACCTGCCTAGTGACTCCGAAATTCGAAAGTGTTATGCGCTGTAAATGAGGCTAATGAAATTAGCAGAACTTACCAGATCATCACGCACAATGCCGTTTGGAGAGTTTCTTTCCGTCCTGTAGTCACTCTGTCTTGTTTACGAAGTAAACTTGGAAAAATATTTGCTGTGTAACTTGAAACCTCTTGATATGCACGGCAAAATTGCCTACCCACTCCACTCGGTGAAACCCGGTGTTCCCTCCACTAGTTTACAGGTAAAATCTGCTGTTGATTCTGATTACGTTTAAGTCCACTTTTAAACATATTTCCACTACGGGTTTCAAACGGTATTCTTACTAGGTGTCTGTACTTTCGGTCCTATATCTTGATATCATTTACATTATTCAGGGCCCAAAGCGTGTGGATGTGCGCTGTCTTCATTCTTCCTGAAGGCGAAAGACATAAACGGACTTGAAGGTTATAAATAGAACGGCATAAAGTAAGCACGTACCAAGCCCCTCAGATTTTAGCAAAAGTTATCCAATAATACTAGAATAATCTGAACCAACTGCTTAGTTCTAATATCCTCCGAAACGGAGAATTAGACTCTTTCCCAAATGTACTGCTT